GATATAACACACTGGAGATCTTTTTAGAAAATTATAAAACATAATCATGTTAACTCCAAAACTGCTGAATGTATCTTTCTCATTTCTTGGAGTTAATCTGCTTCTAAAAAAAATGTGAACTATAAAAAAATTGAAAAGTACCTATGAAAAGGAAATGTAGAATTAAAAAATCATTAATCTGGGCAATGTAATTGAAACAAATATTGCTATACATTTTAGTTACAGAAATGAAGACATGAACCATCCTATGAACAAAGGCTGTGATGCATAAGATCGTATTTTCAGATTGTGAGGGTGTTTCCTGGGAGATAGAGTCATGGAGAGTATGACACAGAGACCAAAAGAAAAGTGCCACAGAGTTGCCAAGCTCAGGGAGAACAACCAGTATTTCCTCTTGGTGGCATTAATATAGTAAGACAGGCTCACAAACAATGCTCCAGTTGCATAAATGATCACCTTGTGTGGGCAGAAAATTGGTTTTCTCAGAGACCCAGGACTCTAGAGAGGAAAAGAGGGGGGTGAGCAGAAGCACTGGTAGAAGAGCCAGGTTAAGGCTTCCCTAGGGTTCTCATGAAGTTTGGGAGCAGAGCTTTGAAACCATCATTCACCTTGACCCACTTTGATCAGACATTGGGTATTAGGTCAGAAACCTCATTCAGAGCTTCTGCAGACTGGTAGGTCTATGACCCCTAGCAAAACCTGCATTGGGTGGCTCTCATTGTGACAGCCTGTCACTCAGCACAGTCCCTTAGAATACAGGTTTTCTTCCTTTGCTACCCTCTTGGCCCCCTGAGCTACTTTGTGCAACCTCCCTTTGAGTGTGATAAGACAGTCACCTCATGTGTTCCTCCCTGCAGTGGTAGCTTGATACTTATGAAGTCCACTGCCTTGAGGGGGTGGTACAGGAGGATGTGGAAGGACCCAGCAGAACCTCTGTTTCTTTGAGTCATTTTTTAATGGAATCTTTTGTTCTGCCTTCACAGAAGCCAGCGAAACTTCCTCAGAAAGAGACTGGCAATACTAATAAGCAAATCAAATGCTTCAGAATGGTACCATCAACCCTCTCCTCCCTGTCTTTCCTGCTTCTATAGAGAGAGGCCAGTCACCACCTTTCTATTTTGGTCACACTATGGTTCTGTGGGAACTGTCATTTTCCTTTACTGCGGTTTCCAAGGCCCTAAAATAACCTTCTCATTAGCTTCACTCAAGTTCATTGTTAACATAAATAGGACAAAATAGGCAGCCGCATCCAGAGCACTTTAAGGGAATATTATCGGCCCTGTTCATCTATTTATATTCTGTACAGAAATATTCAAAGGAAAGTGAAAAAAATCCTTGTTTTTTTATATGATCAGGAAATACACTGTGAATAGTTTTTAACTTCCTGGAAATGAATTAAAATGTCTGATAACTTTAATTCAGTTTAGACTTGACACTCCCCATCACATCCAGGTGGCTACTAACAGAAGCTTGAGTAATGTGGAAAATATGTCTGTGCAGCTGCTGGCAAAGAAGCAAAGTTATACTTCCTCAGAAACAGTGTGACAGAGCTCCTGCAAAGGAATGCAATACTGGTTGGACTGTAGGCAGTACTGCCTCTGGTATGCATTCTCACTCATTGGCCATATTCCAGTCTGAGACTGTGTGGCTGGAGTTCGTGAAAAACAGAACAATTCTACTGGGAATCAGATGCTCTTCTTTCCTGTGCACCCCCAGGACACATTAGTACTGAGGATAAAGAAGGAGAACTACCACTAAGGGATACTGGAGGACAAGATAGATCAACACTAGCCCCTTTACTTGCTAAGGGCTGAGGGCTGTCTTATTAACCCAGTCTCCCTAGCTACTTTTACTTCAGACCTCAGCCTCTATTGTAAAATAGTCACTTGTGATATTCACTAAGCTGAATGATACAAAGGAATGCCAACATTTTCCCCTGGGGCTTCAGGACCGCTGATCAATCTAGGAACAAAATTCTAGCTTTAATCTTGAGAAATCTTCTCTGTAAAAGGATCACATAGGCATTTCAGTCTTTATGGCATGCACACAGTTTTGCTGCAACTACTAAACTCCGTATTTGTAGCTCAAAAGCAGCCATACAACAATGCCAAAAAATAATGTGTTCTCATAAAACTAAAAATTTTAAAACAGGCAGCAAGTTGTAGTCCTCTTTTAGGCTGCAGTTTGCTTACTCTGATCCACTGTTAGATTACACTGATATTGCCACAAGAGTGACCAACAAAGGACAGCAACTAGAACCAAAATGTTCTAGTAAAACAAACCAATAGTATCAAAGCTAGAATAATAATTGCTCATGATGACATGTGACCAGCTGAGGAGCATTCCAACATTGGGAAAAAGTATGAGGAAGCTGCTAGGTTAGGGTAATTTTTTTTTTCTCTTCATGTGAGTACTATTTACAAAAATATATTCACTTGGAAGCCAGGCACTGGTGGCTCATGCCTATAATCCTATAATCTCAGGAGGTTGAGATCTGAGGTTCGAAGTTCAAAGCCTTCTGGGCAGGAAATTCTGTGAGACTCTAATCTCCAATAAGCCACCAGAAAACTGGAAGAGGCACTGTGGCTCAAGTAGTAGAGCACCAGCCTTGAGCTGAATTGCTGAGGGACAGTGCCCAGGCCCAAAGCTCAAGCCTCATGACAACAAAAAACAAACACAAAACACACAAAAAACAACACAAAAAAACGTACATAGATTCACTTGGCAAAAATCATTTGAACTTTGTGAGAATTTATTCATAAATTTAATAAATTCATTTAACTCTTTGGTACTTCAAGAAACTGTTTTTTAAAAAAAGAACAAGAACGGGGTGCAGATGGCACATGCTTTTTATCCTAGCTACTCAGGAGGCTAAGATATGAGGATGGCAATTCAAAGCCAGCCACACAGGAAAGTCCCTAAGACTCTTATCTCTAATTACTACCAAAATGCCAGAAGTGGAGCTGTAGCTCAAGTGATAGAGCACCAGCCCTGATCAAAAAAGCTAACTGACAAAGCCCATGCCTCAAGTTCAAGCCCAGCACTGACATAAAAAGAAAGAGGGGGGAGGGAGGAGAGGAAAGAAAGGAAGAAGGGAGGGAGGGACAAAGGGAATCAATATGCTCTAAAAAAAATCTTTTCAAGTAAAAATAAGGTGGAAAAGCTCACATTGAGAATATAGGAGTCAGGTAGAGTAACTGTGGGTTCCCATGTATACAATGAGAAGGACACAGACCACTTTCTTTTCTTATTTACTTACTTTTGGTGTGCTTTTGATAAATTATGATAGAGAATGTATGATATAAAAGTTAGCAGCTTAACCATTTTTAAGTATATACTTAAGTAGTATTAAGTATTTTCACACTGTTACAAAACAAGTTTATGAAACCTCTACATATTGCCAAACTCTAACACTAAACCCATTAAATAATCCATTTTCTGCCTCACATTCAACCATTGGCAACCACCAGTACACTGTTTTGTTTATTCATCCATCCAAGGTGGTTACACACACCAGCCACCTTTGTAAAGTGGCTGCTGGATTCATGTCCCCAGAATACTCGAGCACATGATTACTCTAAGGCTAAATTTACTTGCCTTTTCATTAATTTATGAATAGGACAGTCTTTAAAATTTTACTTTATAACATGTATATTTGAATTGCTTCTATCTTTTGCCTATTATGAGTATGGTCAATGCAAATTTGGCTTTGAGAGCTCGCTTTTCACATTTTTGGATATAGCTTACAAATGAATTGCCAGATTACATGGGAGTTCAATTTTAAATTTTTTAAGGAAAACTTCATATTGTTTTCCATAGTGGCTGTACCATTTTACAATTCCATCAGTAGTGCACAGGACTCCTATTTCTCTATATCCTGTTAAAACCTGTCTTTTATTATTATTCTTTCACCGTATTACAGGTCAATTTTCCAAAAGCCATTTATGTAACTGGATGCAGTATGCCTGTCATCCCAGCTATGTGGGAGGCTGAAATTGGGATCTCAGTTCCAGGCCAGATAGAGAAGAAAAACCTGTGAGAGTCCATTTTAACAGAGGAAGCTGGACATGGTGACATGTTGTCCCAGCTATGCCAGGAAGCCTCAAATAGGTGGATCATGATCTAGATATAGGTACTTGGACAAGAAGTGAGCCCAAGTAACCAGTTTAAAAAAAAAAAAAAGAGCTCGCTGGATGCCAGTGGCTCTCGCCTTTAATCCTAGCTACTCAAGAGGCTGGGATCTGAGGATCACAGTTCAAAGCCAGCCAGGGCAGGAAACTCCATGAGACTCTTATCTCCAATAAACCACTAGAAAACCAGAAGTGGTGCTGTGCTCAAGCAGTAGAGCGCTGCCTTGAGCTGAAAAGCACATGGACAGTGCCCAAGCCCAGAGTTCAAGCCCATGACACCCCTCCCCCCCCATAAAAGAGCTGGAGACATGTAGCTCAGGAATATAGTACCTGCCAAGGAAGCAGGCTACTCTGAGTTCAAACCCTAATACTACAGAAAAAGAAAATAAAAAGCCATATATGAAGGTTGAAGAGGACTTATTTAAAGCCTAAATACAAAAGCCTAAAAAAGTGTGCTTTTGAGTTTTTTTGAAGCTTTATCTGGAAAAATAAATGGCATTTTAATATAACTTTACATTTAAAGCTTATAAATTTGTTCAAAGTTCCTAGCAAGTGAGACACACAATAGCATACTGAAAGCAGCAGTGCAAGAGAAAAAAATTTAAAGTTATATTTTCATATCTTGCTTAAAATGCCACCCATATGTGTATTTCCCAGAAAAAGCAATATGACTACCAAAAGACCAATTATAGGGTGAATACATAATTTATTTCATTAATTTTGGTCCCACTCTACTTGAAGAACTGGGAATTCTACCAAAAGGAACAAAAGCAATGACACAAGGAGGAGGAAAGGAGATCAGAGTGTGAACTGAGCCAACAGAAAGTCAAACTGAGAGGCAAGACTCCAAAGCCATATGTAGTTGCCTACCTTGCTTTTCTAGAATGACTTGCACAGCTGAATTTTCTTCGACTTTTTTTCTAGCTTCTTCTTCTTCTTCTTTAGACCATTGCATGTGATCCCTATTGAAAAAAATAAGAAGGCTGTTATAAAATATGCTGTGTAACTAAAGAAGGCAGAAAAAACCAGCACTAGGGACTACATTTTTCATTCTAGAGTAAGGCAAACACAAGAGATATGAACTAATTCCATGTCAGATGAATACATTTTGTCAAATGCTTCTCCTGATGGTGCTATGCAACCTTACAACTCCTACAGTCCTTCTGTTTAAAGCTGGCCTTGCTGCAAGTCCCAGTCACTTCTGGGAAATGGTTGTGGAAGTCACATCCCCAGAACACTCTGGGGCATGATTATATGGGTGTTGGTATAGTGCTGTATTTTACTCCAAGGCTAAATTTACTTGTTTTTTGGTTAATTTATGAACCTAACATCCTTTAATACTATTTTAATGCTCATATTATAACACTATATATTAACATTCCACTGCCAGAGAGATGTAAATTTTAAAATATTTTGTACTTACCCTGTGGTTTTTGTTTTTGTTTTTTCCCACAAAGGAGTTTGAATTCAGGACCTTACCCTTGCTAGACAAGTAGTCTACCACTTGAAACACATGTCCAGTCCTTTCACTTTTAGTTTGGTCTTTCATATAGGACCTCATAATTTGTTCCAGATTGCCATCAACTACAGTTCCTTTAAATAATTGCAAGTATAGACATGAATCACTGTGCCCAGCATGTTTTTGGAATAAGATTTTGCTAACTTTTGCCCTTGATAATGTTGAATCACTATCCTCAGATTTCAGCCTCCTGAATAGCTAGGACTACCCACCATTCTGGGCCCTAGATTTGATTTTATTATTAGATGCTTTAAATTTTAAAAGATTAGCTTATACATACATGTTAGAGAATCTTTTTTCTTTCTTAAAAAATTATCTTCAAGTAGTTACACAAAGGAGTTGCTATTTAACAAAACAGTTTATGCTGGGTGCTAGTGGCTCACGCCTGCAATTCTAGCTACTCAGGAGGTTGAGATCTGAGGACTGTGGTTTGAAGCCAGCCTTGGCAGGAAGGTAATAAGACTTTTATTGCCAATTAATCAACTGAAAACTAGAAGTGGAGCTCAAAGTGGCTGAAAGTAGGACAGATCTAGCCTTGAGCAGCAAGCCCTATGTTCAAGCCCCATAACCATTTTTTAAAGGGTTTATGAATACAATGCATCATGATCAGCTATCCCTTTCAACATTCTCACCTATCCCTCTCAACCCACTCCTTCCCTCACTTTTCATAATTTTGTAGGGTATAATTGAATTCTTTTTTTTTCTTATGTCGGTCATGGGGCTTGAACTCTGGCCCTTGGTGCTGTCCCTCAACTCTTCAGCTCAAGGCGCACTCCTACCACTTGAGACACGACGCCACTTCCAGTTTTCTGAGTGGTTTATTGGAGATAGGAGTCTCAAGGACTTTCCTACCTGGGCTGGCTTTGAACTGTGATCCTCAGATCTCAGTCTCCTGAGTAGCTAGGATTACAGGCTTAAGCCACTGGTGCCCAGCACACATTGAATTCTTGATTGTATTCTCCTACACTTCATTCATCTACCCTTTCTCCCCTCAACTCTACCCCATCACTTTCAAGTACCCATTTCCTGATGTTCATTTTGTTGAACTTTGGTTTTTGCCTTTCTGTGGAATTACACTATTTGAGTTCTCCCTTGAATCTACCATATTTCAGTTAACACATCTGAATGTACTTGCATACCATCCAACATTTTTACTTACAAGTTTTAAGTTAGATCTAGATTTTAAATATAAGGGAAACATGGATCCTTTGTCTCCCTGGGCCTGACTTACTTCACTTAATTTATTCCAGGTCTTTCCATTTCTTTACAAGTGATACAATATCATTCTTTCTAATGGATGAGTAAAATTCCATTGTGTATATGCCACATTTTCTTGATCCACTTGTCCAGTGAAGGACATCCAAGCTAATTCTATACCTTGGCTATAGCAAATAGTGCTTCAATGAATGTGCTTGTGCTGATGGCTTTATTATGTCCTTGTTTGTAATCTTTAGGATAGATCCACGGGAATGGTTTTTGAGGAACCTCCATACTGGTTTCTGGAGGAGTTGAACAAGTGTATAAAGGTTCTATTTTGATCACATTTCCACCCGCATCTGTTATTGTTGTTTTCTTGATAATGGTCATTCTAACTGGGGTGAGGAAGAATCTCAGTATTGTTTTGATTAGCATTTCCCATTATTATTTATCAAATGACAGACATTATGCTAAGTACATTTTATATGCATTTGTCTTATTGATCCTTTCCTTAGTAGGGGATGATGACACTGTTCATATGAGGAAACAGATGTTTAGTAACTAGCCAGTCAGAAACTGAGTTCAAACTGTGAGCCACTGTACCCAGTGGCCCACTGTACCTGTAATCCCAGCTATCAGGAATGGGGAGACTAGGAATATTCTGGTTCAAGTCCAGCCAAGGTAAAAAGTATGCAAGACTCCATCTCAATCAGTAAAAGCTGGATATGTACATATATGTGGTACTTACCTATCATCCCAACTAAGGTCGGAAGCCTAAAAAGTCTAGGCCACATCATACAAAGACAAAAGACCCTCTTTAAAAAGAAGTAAAGCTAAAAGGGTAGGATCATGGCTCAAAATGGTGGAGTATCTGCTTAGCAAACAGAACATCCAGAGTTCAAATTCAAGTACCACCAAAAAAAAGTATATCTTCTTACCCTTTAGTCTATTGTTGCCTACCAAAGCTGTGCAAATATTGAGTTTTAAGACTGAATTTATGCACATCAAGGGCATAAATTTTCCTAGTGCAAATAGAAAAAATACACAGCAATACAATGGAATATAGTGGTTAGCACTCAACAAGTGGGAGTTTAGACAGTTAATACTAGCTGAGAAAAAACAGGAAGGGTTAAATACAAAGGTGGGGGTGGGTCCAGGTCTGAGAGAATATGGTCATGTCATTACTGTTGTCATTAAGAAGCTGGCAATAATAAAAGAAATGCAAATCAAAACATCATTGAGATATCACCTCACTCCAGTTAGAATGGCAAAAATCAAGAACTCTAACAACAACAGATACTGGAGGGGATGTGGACAGAAAGGAACCTTACTTCATTGTTGGTGGGAATGTAAACTTGTTCAACCACTTTGGAAAACAGTATGGAGGTTCCTCAAAAGACTTCACATAGAACTCCCCTATGACCCAGCAATCCCACTTTTGGGCATTTACCCAAATGTTTACAAACAAGACCACACTAAAGCTACCAGCAGAACTATATTTATTGCAGCATTATTTACCATAGCTAAGATATGGAACCAACCCAGATGCCCCTCAGTAGATGAATGGATCAAGAAAATGTGGTATATATACACAATGGAATCCTATGCCTCCATCAGAAAGAATGAAATTGCCCCATTTGTTAGGAAATGGAAAAACTTGGAAAAAATTATATTAAGTGAAGTAAGCCAGGCCCAAAGAAACATAGGTCCCATGGTTTCCCTTATTTGCAATATCTAGTATATGTATGAGTCAAGCGGAAAAGGTCAGATAATGTGATGTCAGGAAAATGAACCCTTAGATATGGATTTTAATGTTTTTTTTTCTTTCATGCATGTGTTTCTAATGCATTTATAAGATTATCTCTTTGTTGCTTTGTATGTCCCTCCCCCACAGTATAACCCCTGCTTTCACTATATTTGATGTCAGTATAACTTGTGGAGGAGATGGGGAAAAACCAGTTGTTTAAGGATACAGGTGGACCTGTTGCAACCATGAGAAGTACAAGTTGTCATGTCCAAAACGAGCTTTACAACGTCGGTGTGGGGGTGGGGGGGGGGAAGGAGAAGGATTGGGATTGGGGGGGGAGGGGGGAGGCTGGGAAGGGATGTGAAGGGTAAACAAAGGAGGAGGCTGCAATGCTTGGTAAGAAATGTACGCATTATCCTGCCCATGTAATTGTAACCCCTCTGTACAGTATGTTCACAAATAAAATTAAATTAAATTAAAAAAAAAAGAAGCTGGCAATATAGACAGTGATATGACAGTGTCTATAAGAAGCAAGGAAAAAACACATTTTGACTGGTTCTCTTGGGTCATTGCAGGAGACACTGAAAGCAGGGTCACGAGCAGATTTATAGACGATGCTAAGTAACTACAAAATGAAGTGGAGGTGAAGAGAGAGACAAATTAAGACTATTGCCACAGCCTAGGAGTGATGAGTCTCAGGAATAAGCAGTAGCAATGGGAAACAGAAAGAAATGTGAAAGGGGAAACACAGAAAGGCTAACTTATGATCTGGGGCAAACCAGGTACTGGAGAAGAAAAGGAGTGATTCCAGACTTTCAGTACTGAGTATGTGAGAAATTGGGGGTAAAATGATGGTTAAAGACTTGCTCTGGGTAGGATGATGCTAGGTTTGGTTCTATAAGTTGTATCTATAAAATTAGATACAAGAAGCTGTACTCCAATGACATCATTTAAACACACCTCTAGAAGGCAAAAAACCTTTTTTTTTTTTTTTTGGTCATGGGCTTGTACTCTGGGTCTGAGCACTGTCCCTCAGCTCTTCAGCTCAAGGTTAGTGCTCTACCACTTGAGCCACAGCGCCACTTCCAGTTTTGTGGTGGTTTATTGGAGATAAGAGTTTCACGGCCTTTCTTGCCCAGGCTGGCTTTGAACCACAATCCTCAGATCTCAGCCTCCTGAGCAGCTAGGATTACAGGCATGAGCCACCAGCTCCCGGCAAAACTTCTATTTTTAATTACTTGTTTTTTAAAAGGGATTTTAAAAAAAAAGGCACACTGGGGTCTCTAAGAAAGAAGATCAGAGTTTAAAAATCAAAGTTTCATTAAAGAAATTTACCCACTAGCACTCAGGGAAAGAGCCCAAGCTCTGAGTTAAAGCCCCGTGACTGATTTCTTTAAAGGTTTGTATGTTAAATTTGGCTTTAAAAGGGGCAGGCAGAAGCCCGGGAATGTGGCTTAATGGTAGAGTGCTTGCCTAACATTGCCCTGGGTTCAATTCCT